AGGGGCTGGTGCCCGAGGGCGGCTCGGAGGACGAGCGCGACCACTGGCAGCAGTTCTACTTCCTGAGCAAGAGGCGGCGCAACTTGCTGCGCAACCCGTGCGGGGAAGGTGAGGGTCAGGCCCTACTACCCCATGGCTGAGGCTGGGGCGGGAGGGGGGAAGGGGCTCAACGCAGCTTCCCCCTCTGGAAAATGCGCCACGTGCAGTGCCAGCCTGCTTTGAGGGTTAAACGAGATAAAGCGCTTGGCACAAGGCCCAGCACGGAATAGCCCCAATAAACTGCATTATTATCTCCCCGCCCGCCTGCTCCTTGGGGGTCTCTATCCCAGGTCGTCCCACCACCCTCCCAGGGGGGGAGAATCTGGGGCAAACAGGAAATGCCTGCCTTTCACCCCCACCGTGCCCGCTGGCCCAGCCCCGACGGCAGGGCAGGGCGCGAGCAGCGGGGCCTGGGCGACTCAAGCGTGGCTGTCGTGTCCCTGCAGAGGACCTGGAGGGCTGGTGCGACGTGGAGCACGGCGGGGACGGCTGGCGCGTGGAGGAGCTGCCCGGAGACTGTGGGCTGGACTTCGTCCACGACGAGAGCGTCAAGAAGTTCTTCGCCTCCTCCTTTGAGTAAGGAGATGGGGGGGAGGGGTGGACGGCGAGGGGGAGAGGGCGCCGCCACTCCCTCCTAACGCGCTCTCTCCAGGTGGTGTCGCAAAGCGCAGGTCATTGACCTGCAGGCCGAGGGCTACTGGGAGGAGCTGCTGGACACCACTCAGCCGGCCATCGTGGTGAAGGACTGGTGAGCGCCCCCGGGCAACTTGCAGGGGGCAGAGGGGGGCTGGAGTCACTACCCTGCTTCAGGGGCCGCTGCCTCTCAGCTCCAGTGGTGGTGGCCACGTGGGCCGGGCCTCCAGGAGAAGGTGAAATCCACCTTTGCTCCTGAGTTTAGGTTTTAGTCCGTCTACAGTCCAAACCAAAACATGTCTTGGTGGGCCGGCTTTGGGCCCAAAGGTGAGTCGGGCCCACCTGGGTTTCGGCCCTTGGGTTTGGAGCTTGGAAAAGTCACTTTCTCTCTCTGACCTCAGTTTCCCTGTCTGTAAAATGGGGACGCTGGCAGCCGGGTCCGCAGGTTTACTTTCCGTGGAAGGCCCGGCCCACCGGCTGAGGCCTGTCCCCGCGCGCGCTCCCTCCCTCCCCGGGGCAGGTACTCGGGCCGCAGCGACGCCGGCTGCCTGTACGAGCTGACCGTGCGGCTGCTGTCCGAGCACGAGGACGTGCTGGCCGAGTTCAGCACCGGGCAGGTGGCAGTGCCGCAAATCAGCGACAACGGAGGCTGGATCGAGGTGAGCGCGGGGGCTCCCGGGCGCGACGGGTGGGGCTTGTGGAAACCGTGCCCCCTGGGCGGGCGCGGGGCTGGAAGGGCCA